GCTATTGCCCAGTTGTTTTGAGGTGCATTCTTGCTGTGGATATATTTGGTCCGACAATGCTTTTTTCATTTCACCATTGAAAACACAATTGTTTTAAAGCAAATAGACTATTTTGAAGTCCTAGTTACACACATCCCAGAAGCAGATTATCCCATCCCATTTTCTTTCTCCAGGGTATTTTATAAAAAGAGAACATTTTTAAAGATAAAACCAAATTACTGAAAACCTATGAGCCTTGTGAGGTAATTAAGACAAGAAGCACACCTAGATAAACAAATTATTGTAAGGTTAACATTATCAGAATCTTGAAAGTCTGAAAGTACAGCCCAAGAAACTAGGGAGGGTTTGCCATGCCCACATTCATGCTGGGGGCAGCTTAGCTCAACATTCACCTGGTTATAACTCTTTCCCCCTACCATCCCCCACATAACACTGCAAAAAGGGATTGAAAAATTAAAGCAAGGCAAGTTGGTAAATGGTTAATATTTGAATTTGGTAACAGGAAAGAATAACACAATTTTTCAGTAAGTTGAATGTTATTGAGGTCTATAGTCAGACATTTAATTCTCAATTATTAGAATTCAAAATTAAATTAAATGGAATATAGCTTATTACTGTTGACAAAGGAAAACAACTTAGATGGGCTTTCTACGTTGAGATAAGCTTCTATATCAAAAATGAGGTAATTAGGCTAAACATGTATATCATGTTTATTTAATGAATAAATTAAAGGAAACACATTTTTCCCAGCCATGAGCTTCTGTTAAGAATGGCACTTTTAGCAAAAATAGATCCTTCAAAGTATATTTAATTTTAGTTTTCAAAAGCCCCCATAATCTAAGAAACAGCATCAGAGAATATATACATATTCAGTGTCGTTTTTTATTCTTTATTCCAAAGAAACCAAAGCATACTAGGATTTATCAGTGTGTGTGTGTGTGTGTGTGTGAGAGAGAGAGAGAGAGAGAGAGAACCTGCCTTTGCAGTGTCAAAGCAGAGAAATGTAAATACTACATTATGTTATTCCCCTTTATATGAAATTTACTTTAAAAAATAGAGAAATCCCTTGGGTGGGGAGTGAAAATCATGTAAATCCTGACAGTCATTGTAACTATAGGCATACTAGACTAAATCCAAGTTGTAAGCATGAATTGACATGCATAGAAATGAAAAATGACATAACTGAGATGAGTTGGAGATTTTTCTAAAGGTCTAAGATTTGATGCCTTGGCAAAAGTATCTCTGCAAAGCATAGAAGTCTCATTCATATTAAATACATCTCAAAGACATTAGAAAGCCTCTCCCAAAGCTAAATAAATAATTTTTACATTTTTAGATATCTTACCAGAAGCACAAACATAAATAATCCATCACAAATATTGGAGTGAAGAGCACAATTTTTGTATCAAAAGAAACTGAACATGTGAAGAAAGACCAGTTACAGTATTTCCTTTTAATATATATTAACCCATTTTTTAAAGTGACAAATTATAAAATGATGGTGTAATTTATTTTTCTTCTGAAAACTCAGCTGAACAGAATAAGAGGCATACATAAAAATTTTGATACCAGGGCATAAGGCATTTTGAAGACACCTTGACCTTCCAGTCATAATGTATGTCTGAAGTACATGAACTGACCATTTTTTTTAAAAGGCGGTGTTTGCAAGACAAGGATACAAACTCATCAGAAACAGCAGTTCCCCTTATAGTTCATCTCTTCAACTACAATCTCTAGCAACAATTATGCATAAGTATACTCTTCCATCTTTGAAGTAGAAATGTTTCTGTTCCTTCTCCAGAAGATCACAGAGATCCGAGTAATAAGTTCCTTTCCAATAAAACCACCAAAAAATAGATGAATGGCCTATGTTGATAAGAGGGAAGGTTTGTTTTGTTTAGAAGAAATGAAGGAACTTGGTCTGGATTTTATTCCACTACAATTGTTTATAAAATGCAGGATTCTGTGTGTAGAGGGGGTGTCCAATATGTCTCCAATTCATATAAATACTGCACCTTGCTGAAATTTCCGATGTATCTAAGTCTATTTATAATTTATCAGAAGGGAAAAACATTCCAGACTTCTTCCTCAACCCAATGGCTAGGTCATATAACTGAAGTCTTTATAATTTTGAGGCAAACATGATTAAAAGTTTCCCTCTCAACTATACAGCTAATATTTAAAACAGTGCAGACAAACCTAAGCGCTGTTGTACTGATTCGCCCTCAAAGCAACACTCCAGTTTTCTTATTAGTTTTGATTTATGTTTTGATGTGATGCTTTCACCGCTTGTTCTGGTTTCACATGATTCATGAAGCACAATAGTGACTCATCATTTCAAGTGTCTTCTATGAATGGAATTAGCAGGACTAATTCTCACCATGCCACATGGCTTTAAGAGGACAAGAAAGGGGGTGACAATAAGTATTTTTATACAATTAAGAGAGTACAGTTAGAGGAATATTTTTATAAATTTAGAATCTTCCCCCAAAGAAAAGATTGCCTTAGCAAAAGTCAATGTGCAATACAATATTTCATTAATCATAACAGAGGAATGTCTGAAAAAAGTGATTTTCAACATTATCATTTTGAATGTATTGGATAAAAAGAAAAAAACAACACAAATTTCATGCTGAAGAGATGTTGTAGCCTCCATCTCTTTTCTGCATGAAGAATGTTTTTTTCTCCCAGTCCATTCATCACAGGACTGAACATAGGATGTTTGCTATGTGCATCATTAGACATACTACTGATATTGCCTGTTAAAGAAAAAGGTTTCATGTCTATTTTAGCTTGATACAAAAGTCTACACTCAGAAGAAAAATGAACTCATTCTCCCCTTCCTGCATATAACCATCCAACTATTTGGCCTTCTTGATGAGACCTATGCTCAAGTTTAAAGAAATGTTCACCAAGCAAATCTCTTCCAGGTAGTCAAGATTGCAACTTTCATGACCCCTGGCATTGTCCATACTAGCAAAATGTGAGGATTTAGATCAACATATTTGGAGGACACCAAGATGGGATAATTCTGCTCTGCCGCATTCCTGGGGCAATGATGATGTATTATTGTATTAATTCATGAGAGCCCCATCTCCCCCACTCCCCTGTACTTCATCTTAAACCATCTCTGTCCTTGAGCAGATGGCTCAGGGTAAGTCTTGAATTTATCCCTAGTAAAATATCAACGCTTCTTGAAACTTTTTAAAAATTCTGACCTGTTAAATCTAATAGCTTACCTTGAACACAACTTTAGTATAATCCTTTTAGTACTTGGTTTTTGCAAAGGCAAAATTGTGTATTATTTTAAAACTTCACTATTAATGAAAGTTCCTCTAAACCTAGCTGTCTACAGCTACTCATATTTCTGAAGACAGACCCACAAAGGAGAGGTGTAATTGATTCTCATTAAAAATGTATTTAGTGAGCAAAAAGTAATATTAAAAGTTTATAACCATATGGGGGCGTATTACTGTTTAGGCTTGCATTGGACACACCTGATGTAGAGGATGGAATAGTATGATTCAGAGTTGTTCCAAAAGACAGTTTTAAAAAAAAAACATTTAAATTACAGAGAGGCAAATTTTAATGACCTCAGGATAAATTTCCTAAGTAGCTGTTCCACAATGGAACAGAATACGTCAAAGGTAGAACTTTCTTCACAGGAATTTAAAGAGGCTGGTTGGCTGTCTTAGGTTTGCCATAGTTATAGCTTCCTGTACCAGTGGAGGGGGGGATGTCTTTCATACACCATCAGAAATATTCAACTGATTATCTGTGGAAGAAAAAGCCAAAAACATGGGCAGTGGTATCATGCCATCTAGCTAAAATTCTGGGAGTTGTTGTTTCAACACATTTGGCTGCAGAAGTTGCAGAAATATGGTTGATAAATATGCAGATTAGCAACAGTAAATCCATGTAGATAAATCCCCAAAAGATTAGGGAGAAAAAGAATGAATAAAAGAAAACTCACCAAGAAGAATATTTGCTTACTCAAAATTCTTAGCAAATAATGCTCCCAGACATCATCACAGGCATAAATATATCATTATTCCATCTCTTAGCATACTTTTTCTTTGTAAAGACAGCAGTAAGATTCCCCATGGACAATGAAATGGAGAATAAAAACCTAGTCTAGAAACACTCTAGTTAAATTAAGCCAGGGGACCCAAGCTTAATGGAACAGCAGTATTCCAGGAATTAAATTGACATCACAGCCTGATACATAAAACTGCAACATTTGCAAAGTGACACACAAGTGGAGGAATTACTGGCAAATATTTAAAATTTAGAGGTTCTGTCCTCTTTGGGCCATTTGCATTAACTAAAGAAATTCAACCAAAATACAAAACTAAAATTCTTCAATGAGCTGAAGAGCCTTCAAAGAACAGTTTCTATAGCACTCCCCAGAGCAATTTACAGAAATGACACAAAGAAGGCTCTCCCACTCAATTGATAGTTTAGAAGAAAAACAGCCTATAGACAAAAAATGAAAAAGAGACAGTCTCATTTCATTGAACTTGGTAGTATAATTGAACTTAGTTTTATTTATTTATTAACTTTATTGGCCACCCATCTTACCACAGGGTAACTCTGGGCAGCTTACAATATTAAAAAGATAAAACTATATGAATACTCCAAAAATATAAATATAAAAATACAAAATACAATACCTAAAAGATGGGGAGGGAAGGAGGGAGTAGGATGAACAGTGGGGAAGATGGGATCTGATATTATCTACCACCCCCCAACATGAAGCTCCTCCTTTGGAGTCCCAAGCCAACTTGCAGAGCAAAGTCTTTAAGCTCCTGGTTATAAATGACAATAAAGGTAATTTCTCTTAAATATATAAATTGCATCAAGCTTATTTTTAATAAAAGCAGCAGAATCTCCATGCAAATGTTATTAGCACCATTAACAAAGCCTTAAAAAAATTAAAATTCTGCCTTTAATTGGCAAATACAAAATTGGGCAAACAAAACTATGGGAGTAGTTTCCTATTGCAATACAAAAATATTTTTATTTACTTTTATTCCAGCAATTATTTAAATACAAAAACAGACAACATATATATCTTTCATAAGATGCTGTTTCGACAAAACTGCCTTGTAATTCTGTGTTTGTAAATCCACATTAAAATATATATAAGGTATTTTTATTGCTACATATAAAACAATCGTATTCACACATGTAATCCAGCATTTCTCGAACTTGAAGGGTTCTCTTTAAACCCAACATCCTGCAGTAGAGAGATTTTTAATGTTGGTTATAACTGTGATATAATTTTTTACATGCTGCAATTTGATACCACTCCAGGAATTAATGTTTACATCCTATACCAAATTAAGTTCTACAACATCATCACTTCCTTTCAGCCTCCCTCTGCAATTACAATTTAGAACTGAAATACAAAAAAATATACAGTAACTCCTGTTAAAATAAATCTTTTAATCCTATAGAATTTTGTAGCAAGAGTCATAAGACTTTCACAAGCAAAAATAACCATGTTTAAAAATGCACTCTGAACGTTCTATTTAAAGAAAATGTGACTGAGAAAATCAGAGGTATGTTAGGCAAATATTTGTAGACATAAATAATAATGTAAAATGTGTGGTTTTCTACACCTTTGCAGCTTTTCAAGGACAGTGTGGCCCATGGGTCTCATGGCAAGCAGAGTTCTCATGATTTATTTATCACTTTTATTCTGGATTTGGCAAAAAGCTTATGAAATAAAAGCAATAGAGCACAATTTCATTCCTAAGCTCAAACATAGCTTAGAGGCATGCCCCTGATGTTCTACTTGCAAGTCACCCAATGCACAAAAAGCTATTTCTAAGTCTATACTTCAGAGCAAACTGTGAAGCTACTAATACTGAACAGATTTTGGTGGGATATACATAAATATTAGGGACCAATTCATGCAATTTAAGAAAAACATTTTAATAGAACTTGGTCTTTAGTAACAAGTACAGGACATTACAAGTACAGGACATTACATGTACAAATTTGTTTTCTGTGTATCACTTTTTTTTACAGACTACACTTTTGGGAAATGAGACTCATCTAGAAAAAGTATCAAGTCCAGCTTGTGACAGACTAAAAAAAAAATAAGTTACCTATTTCTTCTGTATAACGTATGGCATATAAAATACACTGTCAAACAAGAATATAACTGAGAACAGTTACATCTTGTCTGATAGAGAACCACAGGTACGCATTTCTAATGGTTACTCCTCTTGAACATTGAACATACTACAGGAGAAACATCTTTCAAGAGCTGATTGAATGACACATCTTAAAGCACTAATGGAAGTTTTAAATATACTAAAATGCAATATGCTCAGAAGGGAGCATGTTACATTTCAGTAGATTTACAAACTTGGCACTCTCTTTCCATGAAGATGCTATATAATTTAACATTTGCTAAGAAGTTAGTAATCCAAATGTGTATCAGAAAAGAGTAGGGAAGTGTCTATCAGAAGCACAGTCTAAATCCTGAAATAACATCACAGTGCGGAAGGAAGGAAGGAAGTTGAGATTTTCAAATTTTGTGTACCAATTAATTATTCAGTCAATTTTAGAAGCAAAACAGCACATATCAAGTGATAGGATTACCACTGTTAGGCATTGTACAGAATATTCAAAGTAGTTGCCTATTTCTTTTTTTTTAGAAGTCACATTACTATAGTTACAATAGTAAATTCTACTCATTCCAGAATGCTATAAAATCTTTTAGAGAATGAAACAATAAAGTAATAAGTTTCAGATGAGAGGAGTATTGGAAGGAAAACAGAAGCAAAGAAATTTGAATCTAGGAATATCTAGACATGATCCTTTTCATTTTGAGACTTTTGTGTAACAAGGGTTCTCCTTTTAAGGGGTCTTTTCCTAAAATAGAGTAGAAAAATTACCTACAATGAGAATAGGAAGCAGAAAAGAGGCTACACCTTGCTAGGCTATATTTAAAGAACAAGGATACTTCAGCAGAGCCTGTGAACAATGAATAGAAACTAAAAACTTTCCCGAGCAAGAGACTGAATATCCTCACCATTGCTCCAACCTCCAAGTGTGCATCTTTTCCTAGCCAAACTGCTATTTAAAACTCAAGTTCTTGCTCTATTAAATTGCATGCCTCATTCCAATACTTACTCTTCCCAGGGCATATTCTTTGCCACCTTCTTATTCTCAGGCAATTTTTGCTAGCCATTTTTCCAAGTCATTAATGTCAGCACTACCCTCCTCTCCCTTGTTTCCTCTGGCACTACATTCAATAAATTCAACTTTCATGGGCAGCTGAGAGAAGTCAAACTCCTTTCCCTTCCTCCCAAGCTGAATGACAGATCCCGAGCTTGAACTATCCATGGTACTTGGGGCAGCAGAGAGGGTCACTCGTAAGGTATTGCTGTAAAAAAAAAAAAAGAACAAACTTAGACAAATAGAATGGGTCTGTATAAAATCAACAACTGGTATTGTGGGAAGGTTGCACAATCTTGAGAGAGAGATGTATGAAACTAGCCAATATGGGTAGGATCACAACCTCTCCTGGACCAAACCATTGTCTGTTTTATTGTTTTTTTCCTCTTTAAAACATAACTTTTAGAGTAAAGGTTTGTCTTCCAAACTTGTGGATTGGTTTCCGAACATTTCATTACCAGGCTAGGTAATATCTTCAGCGCTGAAGATGTTACCTTGGCCTGGTAAAAAAATGTTTGGAAACCAACAAGCTTGGAAGAAGAACCTTTACCCTCATTTTACACCTGAGCTCTGGATATTCTCCACATAACTTTTACTTTAATTTATGTATTTATTATTTTCATTTTTATTGGCTATACTGTTTTTAAGCTTCCTTGTAAGTCTCTCTGAGCTGCCCAAGATAAAGCATGGCACAGAAATATATAAAACAGATGAATGATCCATGTTTGGGAAAAGGACCTAATTATTAGATCACAGATATCTGTAGACAAAACACACAGAAATCTGGCAACAGTAAATCATAATTAAATTAAAGTTTCAATAATTGGTCAAGAGTTTTAATTCTTCCATTGTACTTTAGGAAAAGGAGAAAAGAAGAACAAAATATTTTCCTCTCAGCAACACCTTTGCAATATGTCATCAGTTCCGGTGATAATCAAAAGTAAGATTATAATGATTTGGGGATTAGCTTTAAAGATTAACTTAAAGTTCAACAAAGGAAAACACCTTTTCTTGTGTCATATCTGCTCAGAAATTTAATTTGAAAACACAAAATTATGGCATTACTTAAAATGTTTCTTATTTTAATGGATGGGAGAGACTCAGGTATGTAGGTGGGGGGGAAGTATCCATTGTTATTTTTCAATGTGAACTATATATAGTAAATATAGTTACTATATTTATGCATATATAGTATGCATAAAACTATAATTTTCCATTCAGGTTATAAAAGAAATATATTTTTTGTAAAAATTGGATATTGTAGGGATTAAATGTAGGAATTCAGTCCCTCAGGAAGGAAACGATGGCAAACCATTTCCAAAATCTTGTCAAGAAAACTGCAGGGACTAGTTCAGGAGGTCTCCAAGAGCCAACAAAAAATCAATGGCAAGGAAAAGAGAGAGGGAGGACAACAATTGAGATATTAAATGAAGAATAATTTGAATAATTTTTGAAAGCAATGTTTTAAAAATATACTCCTTCTAGTAAACTTGATTAAATTAATATGTATGTTGCTATTTAAAACTCTAGCTGATCTCATGCATCAGAACAGTTTGGAAATTCTACAGGCAAAATCGGTTTTATTTTTCACTGCTCAATGTTACTTTCCACTGTGCCTTCACAACAACATGAAAATTTATTTTAAAAATGTCATCACTACTGGGCAGTAACCTTGCACATAAGGAAAGATGCATGAAGGTGACCCCTGACAAGTTGGACCTTTGAACTTACAGCTCTCTTTCCAGTTGCTGTTGTATAAGCTTAGAAGATTTTGCCATTGTAACATCTATGGAAGAAATAAGGAAAAAACACATTAATACTGTACTACAGATAACAACGGTGTGTTACATTTGAAGAAACTTTCTAACAGCTAATGACACTGCTAGGCCTCTGAACTCTAGGGGGTGCATTCCAAAGAAACTGGAGGGCAGTTAGAGAAGGCTTAATCTGAGTTGTCATCAGGCAAGCTCATGAAGGCAAATCTCAGATAATTGCAAAAAATGGGGAAAGTCACACAACTATTATTTTCAGACACAGTCATCATTCAGTTCCTAAAAAGGAACTGAACTTACAAAACCCTAAATTCACCATTGCAACACGGTGGTTTGGTAACAGGTTGGTGATATCCATCCAGATGTGTAAATAACCATTATATTTGTATCTGGCCAATTGGCTGAGTTCATAAATCATCATTAAAATAAACCATGATTTCCTATCATCAGTATCCAAAGTTCAGAAACAAATAAAATATGTAAGTTAGTTTACCAAGATTGAGCAAAACTAGTTTCCAAATATGCATTTATTCTACACCTTATGAAAGGCATAGCAAAATACTAATCAGTATAAACATTTTAAATTATATGTAAATGAAGGCCGGCTTATTTCAAAGATGATAAGCTTTACCTTGTTTGTTACAGGCTATTAAGAGGGGAGGTGCATTTTTCAGAATTGTGTTGTCAATTAGGAGCTGGTACAGAAATTCTGCCACATCTTTCATCTCCCGTTGGAAAGCTACACTATCCACAACAAACACAATTGCCCTATACAAAAATAAATAAATAAATAAAATGCAGTGCATGATATTAACTTCCAGTGGTATATCAGCAAAATAAACAACCCCCCAATATGAGATTGCTTATAATCAGCACTTTTCCCCCTCTAAGAATAAGTTTTGATATCATCAAGATTTGCTATCGTAAATGTGAATTGTTTTGTTTTGAAACTCTTCTCTTCTCCAAGACAGAAAAGTTTAGGAAGAGAGAGAGATATGGACAAAAATCCAACAAATGAGATGCACATATTTCATCATATCCTTCTATTTATTTGCAGCAATCCTAAAAGTCAAAACACCGGTAATGTCCTAACAGACCCCTTCTTTGAAACTTACCTAGCTGCAGTCTTGAACTTATCCAGGAACTGAAGCCTCAAGCTCTCATGGCCAGGGAGGTCAATTAAAGTCACATTCCTATTCTATAGGAGAAGCAATGAATATTAATCATGGAGCAATTTTAGGCAGTATTTTGCTTAGGCTTATTCATTTTTATTGTCTTCTACCATTATCTGAGATTATTTCAATCAAATAATAATCCTTTCACGTATGTATACATATATAGCACAACATTTTCATTCATACCTTGTCATTTTTTATTCTGTATAAGGCAGAACCATCAGTTATGGAAGTCTGAGTATTTCGGAAATTTCCTGTTAAGAGCTATGGAAATCAAAAGAAAACAGACAAAATTAAATATTCTCAGTAAAATTACCGCTAATGCTTTCAAAGTCTTCAGAAGCAAGAAGAAATTCAAAGTGTTTGTTTAATCTTAAAATAACAAAATATTCATCTAAAAGATAGTCTAAAAGAAATTATGAAAGAAACTTGCATACCCTAACAAATAGAAGCGTTTTTCCTGAGTCACACAGACCAGCCAGAAGCACTGCTGTCCGACTGCTCTTTCTTGCTTGGAAAACTTTCCAAATTACTGAAAAAGACAAACAATCCACCGAATAACTAAGCTATATGTATAAATAACATAATATTTTGATTCATGCAATGTCTAAAACTAAACTATTTCACATTGCATACATGGAGTTATCATTTTTAAGTAATACAGTATGTGAATTTTTTCCAAACCTGTAATTTTTTTCTGTATTATAAACAATTTGATTTGACAGAATAACCAGGCAATTCACAATATTTTCTATAAAATTTACTTTTTTCCACTTTCTGAACAGGTATGACTTTATCTTACTAGCCAGATCAGAAACACATCAAAGCAGAAACACATGCACACCAAACAAGTAAATATATTTATTTGGAAATAAGCATTAGTTATTTATCTTTTGTTAATATGAGCCCCAAGGAGGTTTACAAAAGTCTATACTGAATTAACAATGATTATCATTCAAATAAAGATAAGAACATTTTTAAGAGGAGTTCTGCAGACATAGTAACGCTTAAAAAATTTTGAGTTTTTAATATTCAAAGTTTCTGCACAAATGTGATTTAAAATGTTATCTGTTTTCCATACAAGCCCTAAAACTATGGTAGATAAGGTAAACCCAATTAATCAAATTAATAAAAAAACATACTCCTTCATTTATTTGAGGAAAACGACCCAAAGCTAAAATATATATGTGGCAAAATATGTAAAACTCTAGAATTATTAATTCATTTGTAGGGAAAATTGGAGCCAGGTGTTTCAATCAATGTAAGGTGCAAGTATGAGAGGAGGTCCTTCTTTATTTAAAGAACAGAATTATGGGTATTCACTATCAATTTCTGATCTTCCAAAACATAGGCATGTGGAAGTGTGTCATGGTTTGAATAAGGGACTTTTCTAAGGTCCTCTGAAAAACGGTTGTTGCTGCTCACTTGTCTTCAAGACATTACAAAACTATAACCAAAGAATTCTGATTCCACCAGTTCACTGAACAAATGAAAGCAATTCAACACCATTATTACCTTCCTCAAAATGGTCAACTAATCAGGATCACAACAAAAGCAATATGTATAAAATATTCTGGGAGGTCTCAAAGAACTCCAGAATAACACCTAAAGAACTAAATGCCTTTCTTGCACTGGTGAATGTCAATAGAATGAACCTGGAGTATGATTTGGATTAGCGAGCTGGATGTTGACAGTCACTGTTTGTAAGAACACTGAACAGTAATGATGTATAATGCAGAGTTGAAAGGAGACCTACTTCAAAAAGTTGCTGCCCATCCACAATTTGTAAAAGACCACATGGGTTAACCGGAAAGAAATTGAAATAATGTTCTATGAAAGGTTGAGACCAAAATACAACTTTCTGACTTTCTTGAAAAGTATTATTTTTCAGCAAAATGCAAACACTGCATTTCAGTATAGGAACCTTACTCTGAAACAGGATGGTGGCAGTATCATAGTTTGAACCTACTTTGCTGCCCACAGACCAGACAGATTGATGGAGGTATGAATTCTGAATTGTACAAACATACATATTCTACAGCAAAATGTTAGGGTATCTGTTCTTGAAGAGAAAATGGTCGTGCAGGGTTAGGGTTAAGTTTAGGAACACAGGAAGAAACTGATCCAAAACACAAGTCAAGTTACCAAAGAATGGTTAAAGCAAAGAAAATTAAACATTCTGGAATGACCAAGTCAAAGTCCTGAACTTCATCCCATAGAAATATTACAGAGGTGGGCAGTTCATGCAAGGCGGCACACCAGCATCCTTGTGTTGAAGCTGTTCTGTAAGAAGGAATGAGCTAAAATTCCTCCAAATCAACCTGCAGGGCTGATCAACATTTATATAGTTGCAGTTACTGATGCTTGAATGGGACATATCAGTTAAGATTCCCATATGAGATGTGGCACATTTTTGTCACACAAAAATATGGAGCTTTGTATCATTTTCCTCAAATAAATATACAAATATGTTTTTAACTCAACTGGATTTTCTTTATCTAGTTCCTAGTGGAGAACAGATCAAGTTTTAGATCATATCTATGTAAAAATTGTGAACGTTCAAAGGGTTTACAAACTTTTAAGTCACTGTAGTAGGATAAGCAAATCAGTTCAAAATATCATTAAACTCAATGATAAAATACAGTACTTTGCCAGAATTACAAATTACAATTATCCTGTCAGAAATCAGAAGCTTTTCCTCAATTAAATTTGCCTACTTCTCACTTTCTAAATTTGCTGACAAGTTCCCTTTCTCCTGCACTTTCATCAATTACTAACAAAAACCCTCACAACAAAGTCCAAAACAATTTTCACCAGCCTGTTGGTTGGTGCCAGATGTGCTGTATCAGAATACTTATTTTCCCAGCCATTTTATTTTGACAGTGGAAGACTGTTTGGAGTCAATTGCCAGAACAGGAAAAAAAAAACAGAAATATAGGTTGACAAGGAACATAACTTTTGCAAAACTCTCCGAAATCAGTCCGTTACTAGCAGCCTTCAACGAAAAGCAGTTTAAATTTAATACATTTGGGAGCAATCTAATTCTTCCAGACGTTCCCCCAAATATGGCAAGATGTTTCTCTACAATCTAGGGCAGGGGTGTCCAACCTTGGCAACTTTAAGACTTGTGGACTTCAACTCCCAGAATT